AGCCCTCTTAGCTCGCAATGAGTGTTTTTATTATCGCTGGTTAAACCTGCCATGTGCAGGTCACTGTGAACATACTGTGATTTGTGAGGTGTGGAAATCTGTTAGCAAATGCAAGTGTGAAAGTTTAACTCAGAAACTACTGTCAGATTCCTGGATTTCTTTTCAAACTAAACAAATTATGCTTTACGTATTGAGAGGGTAAAATTGACAATAATTACATTTCGACTATACGTCGGTCATTGATCTTCGTGGGATGAATTGATTGCATCATTTTTGTCACGTGTATTCATTGTAAAAATACAATGCAAAGTGTGTACCTTCACCATGCATACATGGCGCCATTCACATTAACTTAGAATAAGATAAGAGGAAAAAAGATAACTTAGGAGAGTCTAACTTTCCTTTCCACTGCCGCAGTCCCACTCAGAGCTTTTCAGCCCTCACCATGCCTCCGCCAGAGTCCTGCTCTGCCTCACTAGCCCGAGCTCGCCGCCGCTGCCTCACCGGCCCGCTCCCAGCTGCCTCACCACTTGCTCTCACCACCACCATCTCGCCACCACTGCCTCACCAGCCCGCTCCCAGCTGTCTCACCGGCTTGCTCTCACCACCACCGTCTCGCCACCACCGTCTCGCCACCACTGCCTCACCAGCCCACACAGCTGTCTCACCGGCTTGCTCTCGCCGGCACTGCCTCACTGGCCCACTCTCACTGGCGCTCCCTCACCGGCCTGCTGTTGATCTGCTGCTATCACTCCAGCCCATGCTAGATCCGCCGTCACTACAGGACACAGTCCGTGCATTCAGCTCCTGCCACAAGGTTTCTGATCGTGACTCAGCTCCTTCCTGACTGCTTAGGTAGGTAGTTAAAAGGAGTGGAAGGGGATTGAATTACTGCAGAGAGAAAGAGAACGGAAAAAAATGAAGGACAAAGAAAGAAAGAGAAAGAGAACTGGTGAGCAGAGTGGAGCTCTAAATGGAGCAACTTACCCTGCCGCCATCTTGCCTACACGCCACATGTCTACAAGGGTGAACCTTGTTGATAGGCAAACCTTCAAACAAAATGCACGCTTTGTAAAATTGTTGTTTTGTACCAGACCAGACCCCCTCAAAATATATTCAGAAGATAGTCTAGACCCAAACATTTTTTTGTTTTAAACATAAATGTAATTCATTGATTTCCAGATGCAATTCAATTGATCAAACTACTCAACATTAAACAAAATACACTTTATTTTTACACTACAGTTAAAATACAGACAAATAAAAAGAAAAGAAAAGAATTGGTTTACCCAAAACTCTATTGAAATGCTTAACAAAATAATAAACATATTAACTACTACTAATTAACTGTTCCAATATAGTAATATCCTATAAACACATCCTTGGCAAAGGCAAATTGAATGAACTAGATAGTCTCATATGTAATTCTAGCAGTAGGAAGAGAACCTCAGCTTTTAGCTGTAACAGAGAGAGGAATAAGAGCTTCCACATTCAGCTTCAAGACCCCCACAAGTGCAGAATGCTAAAACTAAAAATCCTGATTCTGTGGGAGCTTGACCCCACCCATTCAGGCAGTTTCTATTATTCCAACTTTATTAAATAAAAATCCCAAGATTTTATAAGCTGTTTAATTTATTGTCTTTGAGCTGACTGCTCAATATCCCTGTCTCGACCTTTCTTCATAAAACAAGACAGGACAAAAGACACCTTCTAAAGCCGTAGTGTTGTCACACTCTTCACAAATTTTGTGTAAAATGTATAGTTTGGATTCCATAGTACATTAGAGTGTGGAGACACAGTAAGGCGCAAAAAAGATTTACCAGAATAATACCTGAATTGAGAAATTACAACTTTACCTGAGGACCTGTTCTATGGAAGAGATGATTGAGAAGTGACACAAAAACAGAAAGTGCTGGTGAAACTCAGCAAGTCTGCCAGCATCAATAGAGAGAGATGAGAGTTAAAGTTTTATGTCCAATATATTAAATTTGTAGATGACACAAAGATAGATGGAATGACAGGAAAAGTTTAGGAGACTGCAGAAGGTCTTGGACAGGCTAGGAGAGTGAGCAAAAATGTGATAGATGAAATGCAATGTGGTGAAATGTAAAGTTATGCACTTTGGTAGGAAAAATAGAAGCGTAGACTATTATCTAAATAGGGGTGGCTTCAGAAATCTGAAGCACAAAGTGAGTTGAGAGTCCTAGTGCAGGATTCTGTTAAAGTTAGCATGCATTTTCAGTTGACAGTTACGAAGGCAAATGCATTGTTAGCATTCATTGTTAGGGTTTGATCACAAGAGCAGGGATGTACTGCTGAGGCTGTATAAGGCTCTGGTCAGACTGCATTTGGAATATTGTGTGCAGTTTTGGGCCCCATATGTAAGGAAGGATGTACTGGCTGTGGAGGGGGTCTAAAGGAGGTTTACAAAAATGTTTCCAGGGATGGAGGGCTTGTCACATGAGGAGCACTTGATGTTTGCCAGTACACCTTATGTCTTTTGTGTCTTGTAGGTACCAGTGGCAGAAAATTAACCTGGTCCTACGGAAACTACTTCCTGAAACTCTAAGGAAGTGTGTACTGATCTCAGACCAAGCATTGGCAAGGTTGTCCCCTGCATAGCTCCTCTAGCTCAATTATTGATACCTTGGTGGGAATGCCAGGATAAAAAATTTGGGAGCACAAGCCTGTGAGCACCTCACTGCAACAATTCCATAGCTGCTTGAGGAAGAAATGGCCAAGGCTGCTGCACTCAGAAGACTGACGGAGACCAGACACTTGCTCAGCCCCAGGCAGGAGAGGACCTGCGATGTTGGCAATCAGAGACTTTGTCCATGTGATTAAGGAGGAACAGGAGCAGCAGACAGGCTAAAGGAGTCTAGCCATGCTTTGGGGACCCAGCTGCCTCAAGCGTACAATTGTCTAGCTGACTCCATGGACAGGATGGCGGCTGCCATTGGAGAGTCAGGTCCAACACCCTCAGGGTGCACATGGCTTGCACTCTGTCACTCAGCCATTGGGCCTTAGGATGGAAGGCCTGTCAACAGGGAGACAGGAACCTGGTGTGCACTCTAGATGACTCTTTCTCCCAAGGCAAGGAGGTAGCTAACTAGAGGAGGGACCACACAAATGGGCCCCTCAGACATTTCTGCTCAGGACACTCTAGAGGTGGCTGGGCCTCCACTTCCGCCCTACCTGCCCCTCTGATATTCAAGCCAAGGAGAATCCCACTTGCCTCAAGTACATCTCAGTATATCTGGGACAACTCGACACAAATGCCCAACTAAATCTCCAGGGCCAAAAGGCTCCACTGCCAAGCAAGTTCCCTCTTACCAGCAATGGAACCTGGGACAACACCAAGATGTAGTTGGAGGGGAAAAAGAAATAAAAAAAATACTTTTGAAGGCACGGATGAAGTTTCATATTTGTATAAATTGATTGGTTTTGCACTACATCTGTTTGAGTTTCTGTGTCACCATATGGTTTTGTGCCAGCATATCTAAACATGATGTACCATGGATCAATGTCTATGTTGAGAGACTGCTGCAGTATGTGAAAGCAAGATGAGCAAGGCATACGTCGAACAATTGGTTCTCCTGGCACCATGTAGGAAAATATCCCTATTCTTTCCTTGGCTTCTGTGGCCAAATGTGATGGTATGAATTAAGTGGTCAGAAATGTGTGAACCAGTGTGGGATTAGGGGACCAGCAGGTCTGTGACCTGTACAGTGCATTGGTCTTACAAATATCGTTGTCTTCCTTCACATTGTCCCCTCAGCCTGCAGCCCCCAATCTCCACAAGTACATTCTCAACACTCCTTCCGACAGAAGTGGCCCCACTTGTCTCTCCCCGACTCCCATCCCTGAAACTCCATTTCCCCTTAGGTTATCTGGACAGACTGTCTGACTGTGAGGTCCCTCCTAAGTGTCCCACAGGTAGATTGGAGAGATCCCGAGGTGTTGTCAAATCTCAGATGCCAGTGTTTGTGGATGAGGGTTGCATGCAACTGGTGTCCATGGTTTGTGTTCTGAGATGCTGTTTCGTGCTGAGCCGCAAGGAGGGTCTTCTTATCAACGGTAAGCTGAAGTCACCAGGTACCCTCTCTGGCTTGCCTGTCAAGAATTCTCGGCATCTAGTTTGTTTGGTGAGTTTAGTAAGAAGTTGCGAATACTGAGGCAAGATGTGCAGTTAATATAGTGGTTATCAAGCAATAATTCCTCCTTAATAGGTAACTCACTGCTGCCGAGTGAGAAGCTTGCCTCAATAGATGCGTAAATGATGCAGCAAGTTACTCCCAACATTGAGCTAGACTTAACTGGATATCTTGCGCACATCTGCCACAAATCTTGTCAAAGCCCATGTTATTCAGGCCCCCGACATTCTGGTCTGTGTATTCATGAAATATAATAGACTTGAACTCTGTTTTAAGTTTGTATATGCTTATTTCAGCATACTGATACCTTATATGTATGTTCACTTGGAGTATTAGTTTGGCTTATGAAATTTACAATAATGGGGATTCAAAATATGTTTCTACGGGATTATTCATACACAGCTCTGAAATAATGTAGAATTTTCATCATTACAATTCTTACTGGATCTTCCAGAGCAATCCTTGAAACAGTTCTACCCTTGATAACCTAATCCAGCAACAGGAATATTTCCAATTATAGTGCAGTGAATTTGGCTGTGAGTTTTCAGTTAATGAATGAATTACTGTCCAGTTGTCCTTTTGTAAAACAATGATGCCAACAACGATCATCAGAAACTTTATTCTCTGTCGACAAATTGTTTGTCCCGTTGATGAGGTGACCATCTCAAATTGTTCTTCGTGCTCAGCAGCAGCAGCAGTTTTGTATTTGAACTTTTAGGTGTTCATCTGATTGAAATGTTGCTGTGCAGCAGGGCATGTGACTGGGGAATTGTTTGAGAACAGGCAGGTGGGAGAAGTGAAACTAAGTGCCAGCTGTTTTATGAAGTGTCTTTTGTTGTTTTTCAGTAAAAGCAAGTCCAGATCAGCCCCACAGATTTCACCAAGCAAGGCTGCTGGTGGAGAATTTTGTGTTGCTGCCACTTTTTCTTCATCACGATCCTGGTTAATAGCCAATCCTGGCCTAAAGCGGGAGAAAGGTAAGTGTACTGTACAATTTTATAGCATTTCTTATGCAACTCATTGGGTAAATCAGGCTGAGATTTGGATTAAGAAAATCACTTTTTTTTAACATAAATGCAACTCAATAATTTATTTTCCCCAAATTGTTTCTTTACTCTTTTGAAAATACAACGTGATCCACTACATGCCTATGTAGTTTTCCACACACACTCATCACCACACCCCTGTCCTCCACCCATCTACCCAGAAATATTCCAGGAGACCAATTGTAGCACACTCTGGAAACTGAAACTCAGACCTGTCTCAGTGAATGGGCCATTGCTACATTTGACCTTGGTAACTCTGGGTAATGAGGTAGAAAATGTTCTTTAGTTTGTTGACGTTTTCTTCAAGACTCACTGCAGAACTTAATCCTCTAGACAGATAATTCTGAGCAGTGCAATTCTGAGGGAGTACTGCATTATTGGAGGTGCTGAAATGTCGAACCATAGCTTTTGAAGTGAGTGTAAAAAGGATTCCATGGCATTTTTTGAAAAGCAAGGAGGCTACCAAGTGCCCTAGCCCCAACAGACACAAACAAATAGATTGTATACTGTTTTACATTTTAAATCTGCACTTTTGCTTTGTCCCTGTAACAGGTAGAACAAAGATCTGGACCAAGGCCACTGACTCATAACCATCACCATCCATCTAGTAGGGTCTGGCACAGATGCCTGAAGCAAAATGGAACTAGGGAATATGTAATGGTTATTTGTTAATTAAAGGCTAATTGGGAGAGAACTGGGTGCATTGGGACCAAATAATCAGTGTGCTGGAGTTTTGAAGCTGTGACTGCTGACGTAAAACCCTGACCAGAAAAGTATGTCTGAACTCTGCCTAACCAACTGGTGCTTAGCAATCCATACCTGATCACATCAGCTAACCAAAGGCAAACGCACTTAGGAATTTTTCTTCTGCTTGCATCCACAACTCCATGCCTGGAATTGGAGAATCATTGGTAGATGATCCACCTGTGGCAGAGGGTGCGAGTGTTTCAATTGGATAATGGGGAACAGTCAAGCGGGTTGCTTTGTCCTGGATGGTGTCAAGCTTCTTGAATGTTGTTGGACATTTTATACATTCAGACAAATTCCTGACTTGTAGATGATGAATAGTGAAGGAAGAGATAAGTTAGTTACTGCAAAATTCCTAGCCTCTGATCTGCTTTTGTAATGTAAGTACGTATACATCTGGTCCAGTTCAATTTCTAGCCAATGGTCACCCTCAGGATGTTGAGAGTGAGAATATTTATCAATGGAAATGTCAAGGGGAAGAGGTCAGATTCTCCCTTTTTGGAGATGGTCATTACCTGGCACTTGTATGGCATGATTATTACTCGCTACTTATCATTTTTAGAAGGACAAGGACAGCAGTTGCACAAGGATTTCATCACCCTCAAGTTCCCCTCCAACCCACACTATCCTGACATGAAACTTTATTGTCTTTTCTTTGCTGTTGCTGGGTCAAAGACCTGGAACTCCCTTTTAACACCACTTTCTCCTACCCACATTGGACTGCAGCAGTTCAAGATTGCAGCTCACCACCATCTTCTCAAGAGCAATTTGCAATGGGGAATAAATACTGTCCCAGCTGGCAATGTCCACATTCTGTGAACAGATTAATTGAAAAAAACCCAAGCCTGAATCTTATCTATGTCTTGATGCATGTGTACATGGACTGCTTTAATATCTGAGGAGTCACAAATGTGTTGCTACTCAATCATTAGCATTAATCCCCACTTCCAACCTAGTAATAAAGGAAACAGCATTGACAAAGCTGCTGAAGATGTTTGAATCAAGGTATTACCCTAATATCCTTCTGTAATTATGACTGGATGATTGCCCCCAGTGTCTTCCTTGTGCTTGCTATAACTCCAATCAGTGGAATTTACACCCTGATTCGCATTAATGCCAGTTTTGTTGGGGCAGTTTGATACCACATTTAATCAAATGTGGCCTTGATGTCGAGGGCAGAGACTCTTGCTTCACATTTTGAAATTCAACTCTTTTGACCATGTCTGGACCAAGACCATGTTGAGGTCAGCAGCCCAATGGTCTTTGCAGAATCCAAACTGAACATTGACTGTTGCCATGTATGGACATCCTCTGTCCATTTGATGATGAGCAAGAGCAGATTGATGGGATAGGTAAAACCAAAAGAACTGTGGCTGCTGTAAATCAAGAACAAAAACTGTGTTCTGAGGGAGGGTCACTGGACCTGAAACATTAACTCTGATTTTTCTTCACAGATGCTGCCAGACCTGCTGAGCTTTTCCAGCAACTTCTGTTGATGGGATAGATATTAGTCAGATCAAATTTGTCTTGCCTTTGGTGGGCAGAACATATTTGGGAAATTTCTATATTACTAATATTTTAGCTGTACTGCAACAGCTTGGCTGGGAGTGTGGCTCTTCAGTACTTTAGCCAGGTCATTGTAAGGGCCCAGTGTCTTCCTGCATCCAGTGCCTTGAGTTGTTCCATCATCACTTGTGTAGTGAGTCAAATTGTTGGAGGTAGATATCTAAAATAATGGCAGTCTCAGGAGTAGCCTGTGAGGGATCATCAACGTAGCACTTCTGGCAATAGATGGCTACAAGTGTATGTTCCCTCTTCTTTGAGGATGAGTATATTTGGGGAACCTCCATCTCCATTAGTTGTTGAATTGTCCACTGCCATTTACAACTGGATATGACAGTACATGCAGTGCTTTGATCTAATACCTACCTTTGAACAGAAGCAATATCTGTCTCCAGAGCTGCAATACTGCGAAAACTAGGAAATGCATGAGATCTGCAGTGCAGGATACCATCATAGTGAATAAAATAATATGATAATGGGTAGAGTAAATCAAAAAACAGTCATCAGGTGATAGGAGACCTGTGAGAAGATATCTCTTTCTCTGTGACACGACACAGAGAAAAGTTAAGTTGTCAATTGTCTTACAATGTGTGAAATCTAAAATTTGTGAAAGTGTCAAGGCACCTGTTTGGTACAGGGTTTTAACATAAAATAATCGTGTTGTATGCTAGTTACATTTTTTGGATCTTGAATATTGCTATGATTTCAGCAGGGATGTAACTTTTGAATAAAGTAGATAAAATTTAAAATTCCAGTTATTTGTTAGAAGAATAAAGCAAGAAGATTCCACAGTTTAAACAGAAGAATTTTTACGATTACAAGATCCAGCTAAGCAAATACTGAACACTCTCTATCCTGTACGTAAACATCCAGAATTAGCATAAGTTAAATATGATGAATAGGCAAGTTGTGGTTGATTATGAACTACATACCAAGTAAAGATGAAACTAAGACAGAGTTTACAAATTGACTCAGTTAATGAAATTTTAGTGATCCTACCTGGTCATAAACTCCTTCAAACTCTGTCTTGACTATTGCTGAAATAAAAACGCACAAGACAGAATCTTCCAACCCCGTGAAGAATATGGACGTTGGCATAAGGGAACATATGACAAAATCAGAAAAATGAGATTCTCAACGTTCAAATGCGTGGATCAGTTTTGGGAGGGGCCTTGCAATACAGTCAAGACAAAGTTGACCACATAGAAATTTGCCAAAGCTCTTTAAATAGTACCTTCCAAATTCACAGCCTATAGAGGCATGGTGCATAGCTAATGAGGTGAGCTGCCAAGCATAGCATGAGAAAACTTGCCAGGGCTCATGGAAATAAGCACTTCATGAAACATGCCAAAATTGACACATAGTGATTTTTGGTAAAATTCAACTCTTCTTGTCAAAGCTTTTTGTCTTGTACTCATCAGGACAATTCACAACAAACACCATAATAAAGAAAAGATAGTATTTATAATAATTTATACTTATACTGTAGGAGAGGAGAGGGCTAGTTAGTTGGCAAGTGAACTCTGCTTTGTAGAGCCATTATTAAAGAAAATATACTAGTTAATGAGGGCTGTTGAGATGCTGTGGTAGTGTCCCTACCCCTGAGCCAGTAACCCAGCTTCAAGTCCCACCTGCTCCAGAGATCTGTAATAGCATTCTGAACAGGTTAATTAGACCATATCTGTACCAGTTCATGACATCTGATAGTTAACTGCTAAGTATCATTCAAATTTTAAACCAGGCACGTTGGTTCTCTCAGTCACAAAATTGGCCTGAGAAATGAACCAGTGAATGGCTGTTACCCATTTTGTTCAATTCTAACAGGCCAATATATGTACATCTTCTTTCTATCTGCAAAGCACAGAGCCCTGTGTATTAATACACGTATCTTCTGGTATATTCAACTGCAAGTCCAATATTTGGCTCAAAATTAATTGTCATTGTAATTCTTCATGCCCGCCAGATTATTTTGCAAATATCGTCCAAATCTCGGAATCGCAGTCAAATGTTACACACAGTGTTATCGCACACATGTGTGGTTGGGTGCAATCAATACCGTGCTTATTCCAAAAAGCAAAAAGGATATGCTGGAATTTCTTCTCCTGTCCTTCCAGTTGCTCGTCTGCAGCGCATAGCAGTAGAGAACCAATCTGAATTGCACGGGCACAGTCTTTCCCCTAAATGGCACACATCTATAGGATTTGATCAACTCAGGGTGGATTCGCAATTGTTTTCTTCAAGTAACAGAAACAGCTGCAGCAACTTTACTTCACATCTGGATCTGAACTATCTTTTTCAGTCTTATTGATCTTGTTTATACTGCACCAGTGAATTCATCAACAAATACTGCACAGCTTGGACCGATCAGTATCTTTTTATATCTTTTCATGAGATCAGTTGGTTTTGGTTTCCAGCCCTACAGTTTGTTTTGGATCTCTTGAAAACTGAGAGAGTCAGTTTCCTTTCTGTGCTTGCCTGTTCTATTTCCTTTTCTGTTCCCTTTCCAATTAAGTTTCTGTTTTAGTTAGGGTCAAAATGCATAAATTATATTTAACAACACAGGTTTGCAATATTTTGAAAGGCAGTTAATTTCAGGCACCTTTTTAGGGCTGAAATTTAACAAAAGGGCTTTGGACATTCACACTGTATTTTAATTGTTTATATTACTTTACTGTTTTTGCTGTTCCAAGACTATGTATCTATTCTGCCCTTAGATCAATCAAAACAGTCAGTAGTGGATTCCCTGTTCATTATTAGTTGCTACGGCAACCTCGTGGAACACACAATTGAGCCACGTCCTGTCAACACTGTGCAGAAGATCAATGATGATACTCAGCTGGAGCTGTTAACATCTCCCCGAGCCAGCTGGTCTCTGGCCAGGTAAGATATCTAGACACCTTCCCTGAATATGTCTACATCAGCAAGGCTTAATCTATAATTGGTAAAAGGGTTTACTCCTATGAATTTGTGACTTCCACTGCATGCAACACTTTGGCAACTACTTGACTATGAGTGCGACTTATAATATTTAGGTTGCTTCTCTTGAGGCTTTTTAAAAATAATATTTTCATGAAGAGGCTCCATATGAAGGTTGCACCTTTGAAAGTTTGCAATTTGGTAGAAATTTTCAAATGAACTTGTTCAGATTTTATTACAGACCACGGTGTAAATGTGATCTGAACCGAGGCCTTCTGGCTGAAAGATAGGGACAGTACCACTTTACCCCCAATAGCAAGTTGGAAATCATTGATGTTAGTGTAACAAGTTGTTAAGAATGTGATTATGGTTAATTGATTAATTAATTGACTGTAGATACAGAAGGCAAACAACCTACCTCCCTGTTATGTTTGATGGTTTACATTGCCCATATTGGACTTTGCTTATAAGTATTTAATTGACTACATGGGTGATTACTGGTGTGGGTTAGTAGTTAAAGGAAAAAAAAAGTGCAAAAAAAAGTCACAATGATTTTGGCGGTGGGAAAGTCGCTCAGTTGTACATAATAGCACTTCTGAGTAGATATAAAAAAAGGGCAAGCATAGGTTTTCCATGTGAGAGGACTGGTGTGTAGAAGGAGCTTGAAGACTGAGTAGCAGGATCTTGTGGCACAGTGATATTGACCATACCTTTGAGACAGGAGGTCTGAGTTCAAGCTTCACTTGCTCCAGAGATGTGTCTAGCATGTCTGAACAGGCTGATTATAATATCTTAAGACTGAATAGTTAACAAATGCTATACACAAAGAAATATGTTTTGATTTCTGTCCTGCCACCATTTTTTGTATCTGAATTGACACTGGTAACAGAGAATGGACACCTAAAGGTGAAGATTGCAAGTTAAGTGTTATTTTTAGACAGAAGATTGTAATTTAAATTACTTTGGATAAGAATGGCTGAAACCAAGCGCAAAATGTTGACTTACCATAGATGTTTTGTGAAGCTGAGGCTTAAAATGAATAGAAATTGAAGTGATAATATGGACACAAGTTAAGTCTTTATGAAGAAAAAAGCAAAGTGTAACCTTAACACTTCCTACAAAAAGCAAGATTGTGTAAAATATTCTGACTTTGAGGCTCACCAAGGCTCACATGGACAGGATCAGGCAGAGTAAACAAAAAAAATCATGCTTGACAAATCTGCTGGAATTTTTCAAGGATGTAACTAGTAAGGTTGATAAGGGAGACCCAAGGATGTGGTTTACTTAGACTTTCAGAAGACTTTTGATAAAATCCAACATAAGAAACTAGCATGTAAAATTAAAGTGCGTTGGATTGGTGGTAAGTATACTGATACAGATAGAAAACTGGTTGGCAAACAGGTAACAAAGAGTAGGAGTAAACAGGCCATGTTCCAAGTGGAACCAATGACCAATGGGGTACCACAGAGATTTGTGCTTGGACCCCAGCTATTCACACTATATATTATGTATATATATTAATGACTTAGATGAAGGAACTAAACTTAATATCTCCACATTTGCAGATGACACAAAGCTGGGTACGAGTGTGAAATGTGAGGAGGATGCAGAGATGCTTCATTTTGACGTGGAAAAATTGAGTGAATGGGCAAATGTATGGCAGTTGAAATACAATGTGGATAAAATGAAGTTATCTATTTTGGCAGAAAAAACAGGAAGGCAGACTATTATCTGAATGGTGATAGATTGGGATTGGGCATGTTCTTGATACATCAGTTGCTGAAATTGAGCATGGAGGTTGCAACAAATGGTGAGAAAAGCCTTCATAGCAAGAGGATTCGAGTACAGGAGTGGGGATGTCTTGCTGCAATTGTACAGGGTCTTGGTGAAACCGTACTTGGAGTATTGTATGCAGTTTTGGTTTCCTTATCTGAAGAAGTATGTTCTGGTATAGCGGAAGTGCACCAAAGGTTTACCAGACTGATTCCTTGGATGGCAGGACTGATGTATAAAGAGAGACTGGATCAGTTAGGAGTGTATCCATTGGAGTTGAGAAGAATGAAGGGTGATCTCATAGAAGCCCGTAAAATACCAACAGGACTAGATGGGGTAAAAGCTGGAAGAATATTCCAGATGACCAGGGAATCCAGAACCAGAGGGCGCAGTCTAAGGGTATACATTTTAAGACCAAGCGATTTCTTCACCCAGAGAGTGATAAGCCTGTGGAATTCTCTGCCACAGAAAGCAGTTGAGGCCATCATTCCTATTCCCTTTTTTGTTGCTGTCCCTACATCCTCAACCTTTCAGCTTCTGACTCTGTTTCCATTCATTCCATTTTCATAACAGTTAATGTCTCCAGTTTATCCCTGAGCCAATGGATTTGCAAGTTACTCTGCCTTTATTGGCTGTTCACTTTGTCCTGTTGTGGGCAGAATGATTATGACCTGACATCCCTTTCTCTATTGTGTAGGATCGCATCCTTCTATCTTGAATTGCCTCTTCTACTGTAATCATTTCTTCAACGACCCTATGAAATGAATCCCAAACCAAACATGAGTTTCCCACTTTTTTTCTTTTTTATTCATTTACGGGATGAGGAGCGTCGCTGGCTAGGCAGTATTTATTGCCCAGGACTGCACTGACTGCCCCTTTATAAGCCTCTGACCATTAATACTCTAATCCACAGGACTCAATGTGGTCCATCCTACTCCAGACTGACCTGGCAGGACAAACTGACTGTGAATGACCCAGTCCCCTGGATGGATATCTCACAGCATCCTAATGTAATGCCCTGACAGGTTTGATTTGACCTGGAAGACTGACAGTACCCCAATCCCTGACAAGACATAAATCCCCAGATGCTGGTAGGAAGTGCCTAACTGACCCTGGCCAGCCCTCCCACAGGACTGAGCTTGGACCAGCCCTTTGGCTGACTGAGTCAGCGCACCCAACTCAGCATTGCCACCTTTGTCCAAAAGACTGGTGCTCTCGGACTTTTGACCATGGTAATTTGGTTGAAGCACATTCTGTGTGGTTGACACAGTAGCTACTGGCACATGCTGCAGGTTGACATTGACGTAGCATGATTCTAGAGAGCACCATTGCCATCTCCTAGACTGTTCAGTGCTTTAAGTGTGCCATGCCATCTGCCTCTTCCTCTATGCCAAAAAAAATGCAAGCCAGAAAGGCTGCCTGACTGCAGGTAGTCTGAAGATTCTGTATGCTAAAAAAAACTAAGTAAGCCAGAGAAGCTTCCAAATCAACGCAAGCAAGTGTTCACTAAGAATGTAACCGGAAAGCCATGACATACATACAGTGTCAATGACGGAGATGCAAGTGTGTCTGTCCACAATAAAGTGACCTGGCAGTAGTACGCAAGTCATGTGTCCCTAAGCACCAAAATGAAGTCCTGAAGGCTGAAGTGCTATAAATTAGTCTGAAAGCACCCATGATGAAGTTTATTTTTATTCATTTGTGGGAGGTGGGTGTCGCTGGCTGGCCAGCATTTCTTGCCCATCCCTAGTTGCCCTTGAAAAGGTAGTGGTGAGCTGCCTTTTTGAACCGCTGTAGTCCTCCTGCTGTGGGTTGACCCACAATGCTATTAGGGAGGGAATTCCAGGATCTTGACCCACGACAGTGAAGGAACGACGATATATTTCCAAGTCAGGATGTTGAGGGGCTCGGAGGGGAACTTGCAGGGGGTGGTGTTCCCATATATCTGCTGCCCTTGTCCTTCTAGATGGAAGTGGTCGTGGGTTTGGAAGGTGCTGTCTGAAGACCTTAGGTGAATTCCTGCAGTGCATCTTGTAGATAGTACACACTGCTGCTACTGAGCGTCGGTGGTGGAGGGAGTGAATGCTTGTCGATGTAGTGCCAATCAAGCGGGGGCTACTTTGTCCTGGATAGTGTCAAGATTCTTGAGTGTTGTTGCAGCTGCATTCATCCAGGCAAGTGGGGAGTATCCCATCACACTCCTGACTTGTGCCTTGTAGATGGTGGACAGGCTTTGAGGAGTCAGGCGGTGAGTTACTCGCCACAGTATTCCCAGCTTCTGGCCTGCTCTTGTAGCCACTCTGTTAATGTGATAAGTCCAGTTGAGTTTCTGGTCAATGGTAACCCCCAGGATGTTGGTAGTGGGGGATTCAGTGATGGTAACACTGTTGAATGTCAAGGGACGGTGGATAGATTGTCTCTTGTTCATGATGGTCATAGCCTGGCATTTGTGTGGCGTGAATGTTACTTGCCATTTGTCAGCCCAAGCCTGGATATTGTCCAGATCTTGTTGCATGTGAACATGGACTGCTTCAGGAGCTGAGGAGTCGTGAATGGTGCTGAACATTGTGCAATCATCGGCGAACATCCCCACTTCTGACCTTATGATGGAGGGAAGGTCATTGATGAAGCAGCTGAAAATGGTTGGGCCGAGGACACTACCCTGAGGAACTCCTGCAGAGATGTCCTGAAGCTGAGATGATTGACCTCCAACAACCATTACCATTTTCCTAAGTGTCAGGTATGATTTCAACCAGCAGGGAATTTGACTCGTGGTACCCATTGATTCCAGTTTTGCTAATGCTCCTTGATGCCACACTCGGTCAAATGCAGCCTTGATGCCAAGGGCTGTCACTCTCACCCCACCTCTGGAATTCAGCTCTTTTGTCCATGTTTGAACTCCAAAACTGTAATGAGGCCAGGAGCTGAGTGGCCCTGGGCGGAACTCAAACTGGGCATCACTGAGCAGATTATTACTGAGCATGTGCTGCTTGATAGCACTGATGATGACCCCTTCCGTCACTTTACTGATGATCGAGAGTAGACTGATGGGGCGGTAATTGGCCGGGTTGGATTTGTCCTGCTTTTTATGTACAGGACATACTTGGACAATTTTCCGTATTGTCAGGTAGATACCAATGTTGTAACTGTACTGGAACAGCTTGGCTAAGGGAGCAGCAAATTCTGGAACA